GGATGGCCTGTTTATAAAGACTTTTAGATATGGGTAGTCGTTTATTCTACCGACGTTCGTAATTCCTGCTGAATTTTCCAAGAAGTCTAGTTTCCCCGGATCCTCCGAAGGCAGATTTCTTTTTAAGATTCCTGAGTTCATGCTGAAAAAGGATTTAAATAGTATAGATTTCAGAATTCGGGCCATCTCCGGAGACCTATTCAATTTAGGTTTACAAATAACTATTGGGAACGATAATAATTTCTATGACATCCATGAGATCTACATTGACTATAAATATTCCCAGATAAATACTTTTTAAAGTTCTTTCTTTGTTGAAGGTAATAAGGGTAGCCCCATGCCAATAACTGCCATGTACTCATGGGTTAGATACAGAATAACAGTGGACGAAACTGAGATCGCCATGAAAATGATAGGATAACAATATTCAGTAGTTGCCTCTAAAAACAACAATAAAATGTCTCCTTCATTTATTGCCTTTCGTGGTATAAGGCAAGCCTACCTGGTAGTGATAGAGAGCGTAAATGAACGTCCCTGGCAGTGTCAGGGAGGACAATATATTCCATCTAAGAAATATTATATGCCCACGTATGGTGTTATACCCCTACACAGGGATTATAATTATTAAACTGTAACACAAGACGGCATAGTAGACTAACAATATCAGCTATCTACTGCTTCCGGTGATTCACGAGAAACTGGTTTCATTCCACTGTATCCACGCGACAAATACAGAGAGTTAAATATTTAGCTGAGAAATATGCCCGTAACCGTATACCTATCGAATGCCCTCCCTCTAAACATGACTTCAGGAAAGTTCATGTAAGTATTCTAAATACATTTAGAAAATACATATGTGAAAACTAGATAATGTGATAAGCTCGAGGGTTTTACACACCAAGGGGAAATAAAAGCGTGTGTGGGTAGGGAAATTACTAGACAAGTAACACCTTAATTGCTAGAAGGTGAGATTGTCCATCTCATAATGACATTTAATGAGAAAGGTGGAAATTTAAGAATTATTTATCCACTGCAAACTATCAAGATTGAGTTGCTACCACCTATATATTATCGTTTCTGGTCAATCCTCCTGCTTCAAAATTTTAACAACATAGTAGAGTGGAACTGGTTGTCAAATGCCGCGTGCCCAGCATCTACAGAAAGTTCTTTACGGCAATCCTGTCTTCACGCATACACTTCAAACTAAGACGCTTTTATCAACTGGGGTGTCACTTCTCAGGGTATCTAAATGTGCACTCCCTGGAAATCAAGAGGAATGAGTAATTTTCAAAACTATTGCGTAAAAAACGGTCCAAAGGCTACATGTATTGGACCAGATAATACCGACATGCCGTGCCTATTACCTCATTGCACGGATTATACAAAGATGTGTAAACTAGACATGGAAGGTACAACATACGTAGGTGATATGAGTACAACCAAATCGGGTACTCCGTGTATAGGGAAGTGTCGAAATCCAAAACCAGGAACATCTTTGATAGGCCCTTTTTGCAATGCTAAAGTCGGTCTTACTGAAGTCTGTTCTGTTCCCTTATGTTACGACATACCAGGCCCTACATCATTCCTAGACCTGCGTGTTCCTTCAGGGCATAACTCCGTTCTGAACATCATGTTCATGGAACATATGGACGCAAACATAACCAGATAGGGTTTCTATTTAAGGTCCAGTAATACGATTCATACTTCATTTTGTCTCTGGTTGTACAGTAAAAAAACTGAGCCCGTCAAGATGTTTAAGTTTACAGAAAAGGAGATGTTTATTGATGACAGCTCTCATGCGCATAAGTCATTGCGACGAGAAAGATTTTATACCCACGACAGGTTCACCCCATACACCATCGAGGGAGCAAGGGGTTATTGGAATCTCTATAAAGACTCGACCTTAATTTATACACATTTTCATAACCTCCCCTTGCGATACTTTCAACTAGAAGTTTGTCCAAAGGAAACTCATAATGCATTTCTTATGATCAAACCAGATTTAAGTTTTCCATACTTATATGAGTTATTTACTTATAAAGGACTAGGAGTATATGAGGGTAGGATGTATGCCTTTGAAAAGGTAGGAAAGTTTGAGTACCAGTTTAGATTACGGGTTTTCTTGTATGAAAAATCTTCTTTCCAAATGAACCTTCTTGACGTCGTGGGTTAAAGGAGGACTCAAGTAGTAAATATAGGATATAAGAATGATTTGTTAGTGGGTGAAGCAAGAAAATGCTCGATTGATGTTGGGAGAAAATATGATCTACTCTAGATAAAAATAGAGATCTCTTCAGATTTGTCGATATTAGCATCTGTGACATTCGGTAACTGTAAATTATTTCTCACTCTTCTCACAGTGCCAAACTTCGTCACATTTTATCCAATTGACGGTTAAATTTAATTTGCCTTAGCCACCGAAGAAGCTGTAGAACCACGTACATTGTTCAGTGGGAAATGGACTAAATGGAAGTCAAGTTTAGAGTGCCTCTGTGATTCTGGGTACACAGATAAATTCAGAGTGTGTAGTGAACCCACTCCTCACCCTATGTCTGGTGGCTGCATAGGGGATATCATAAAAAAAGTTTAATGTGTTCTTTCACAATGCCCGTCTATGCTCAGCAAAGGAGATGTTGTTTTGAAGTCCAAAATTTTACCGGATATGCCCAAAGTTATAGAAGCTAAAATGGGGAAAACACTTCATATTATAGCAAAATATGATGATAAAGAACCACACCTTAAGACCGGTGGCATATTCTTTTGGGACAAGGATGGATAGCCTACCCTCTACACCCATAAGAATCTGACTTTAGCTGTTCAATATGAATCCGCTGGGCTCTGGAGATATATTTACGCATACGTCAATGAATTGTACGAAAAAATAGCAGTTGAACTTTTTACCTGTTTTATTTCGGTTACGAAGAAATAAGTAGTGTCAAAGGGAAGATAGTTCTTTCTGCATCATAATGCTAATTATTTGACCGAAATCTTTAAGCATCAGTCCTTTACAGTAACCTGGTATTTCAAAAAATACATGTACGCAACATTTCCTTTCGCATTGCATCCGATATTAGTTACACCCCAAGAAGGTTTGTGGTAATGTTACGTTTCTTTCAACGAAAATAAGTCCATTTCACTCCCTACAGCAAAAATATATTTTGAAATAGACCCTACTTCCGAGATACTCACTGTTTTTGGAATAATAACAGGAGCACAGGCATAAACCAAATTTGTACCTCTGTCTATCGTTCTTCTCATCATGGCATTTTTTGGTGCAATTGCCAATTTTTTTATCTATAAGCGTTATGTGTAGTAGACTGCGGAATACTTTCCTTAACTATTTGGATTTGATGTGCCGGAACTAGAACCTGATATGAGGCTCTCTTCCGAGGAGGATAGAGAACACAGAAAGCATGAGCGACGGGACAGAGAACATGAAAGGGATATGCCTCGGGAAAGAGAACATGAAAGAGAACATGAAAGAGAACGGGAAAGAGAACGTGAAAGGGATAAGCCACGGGAAAGAGAACGTGAAAGAGAACGGGAAAGAGAACATGAAAGGGAGAAGAGACGGGAAAGAGAACATGAAATGTATGATAAACGTGAAAAGGGTGATAAACAGGGTAGAGAACATAGAAAGGATAAGGAACGGGATGAAAAACAAAGGAAGGATGAAGGACATGGAAAGGATAAGAAACGGGATGAAAAACGAGAGAAGGATAAGAAACAAAGTAAAGGACAAGTGAAGGATAAGAAACAGGGTGAAGGACATGGAAAGGATAAGAAAAGGGATGAAAAACAGGAGAAGGAAAAGAAACAAAGTAAAGGACAAGTGAAGGATAAGAAAAGGGATGGAAAACAGGAGAAGGATAAGAAACCAAGTGAAGAACAAGTGAAGGATAAGAAACGTGGTGAAGAACAAGTGAAGGATAAGAAGCGAGGTGAAGGACAAGAAAAGGATAAGAAGCAGGGTGAAGAACAAGTGAAGGATAAGAAACGTGGTGAAGAACAAGTGAAGGATAAGAAGCGAGGTGAAGGACAAGAAAAGGATAAGAAGCATGGTGAAGAACAAGTGAAGGATAAGAAACGTGGTGAAGAACAAGTGAAGGATAAGAAACGTAGTGAAGAACAAGTGAAGGATAAGAAGCAAGGTGAAGAACAAGTGAAGGATAAGAAGCGAGGTGAAGGACAAGAAAAGGATAAGAAGCAGGGTGAAGAACAAGTGAAGGATAAGAAACGTGGTGAAGAACAAGTGAAGGATAAGAAACGTGGTGAAGAACAAGTGAAGGATAAGAAGCAAAGTGAAGAACAAGTGAAGGATAAGAAGCAAGGTGAAGAACAAGTGAAGGATAAGAAGCAAGGTGAAGAACAAGTGAAGGATAAGAAACGTGGTGAAGAACAAGTGAACGATAAGAAACGTGGTGAAGAACAAGTGAAGGATAAGAAGCAAGGTGAAGAACAAGTGAAGGATAAGAAGCAAGGTGAAGAACAAGTGAAGGATAAGAAGCAAGGTGAAGAACAAGTGAAGGATAAGATACGTGGTGAAGAACAAGTGAAGGATAAGAAGCAAGGTGAAGAACAAGTGAAGGATAAGAAACGTGGTGAAGGACAAGAAAAGGATAAGAAGCAAGGTGAAGAACAAGTGAAGGATAAGAAGCAAGGTGAAGAACAAGTGAAGGATAAGAGGCAAGGTGAAGGACAAGTGTAGGATAAGAAGCAGGGTGAAGGACAAGAAAAGGATAAGAAGCAGGGTGAAGGACAAGAAAAGCTTAAGAAACAAGGTGAAGAACAAGTGAAGCATAAGAAACAGGCTTAGACAAAGAAACACTGAGGTACGGCAATGATAGCTTTATAGAAAATGGCAAACGTATTCCAGTAGTGTTCTCGAATAAGAATATGATATAATATAATTGAGTGGCGAGTCCTCAACACTGACAGCTGAAACCCGGGGCAATGTTGAGGTTGGATGTTGCACACCACTTAGACCGAGTGTCCAGTGA